TGCAGATGATAAGAAAGAGATGATTGTGGATGTTATGAATGAGAAGAAGTGGATGTCCTGGTTTTAAAGTGAAACAAAGCTGAAGGGGGTGGGAGAGTTTCAATGGAGGGGAAAATAAATGGGATTAGGTCAGGGGTTTCAAATAGAGTTGGGAGCTAAAGAAGGAGTAGCAATAATGTTGAAGGATAAGCTATGGCGGGAAAAAGAGGGACTATAAATGTATTAATTCAAGGATTTATGTGGAGTAAAATAAAGATTGGATTGGAAAAGTGGGTTATAATAAGCGTGTATGCACCTGGAGAAGAGAGAAGTTGTAGAGGAGAGAGAGAGATTTTGGGAAATGTTGAGTGAATGCGTGGGGAGTTTTGAATCAAGTGTGAGAGTAATGGTGGTTGGGGATTTCAATGCTAAAGTGGGAAAAAATGTTATGGAGGGAGTAGTAGGTAAATTTGGGGGTGCCAGGGGTAAATGTAAATGGGGAGCCTTTAATTGAGCTATGTGTAGAAAGAAATTTGGTAATAAGTAATACATATTTTATGAAAAAGAGGATAAATTAAATATACAAGGTATGATGTAGCACGTAATGAAAGTAGTTTTTAGATTATGTATTGGTGGATAAAAGGTTGATGGGTAGGCTCCAGGATGTACATGTTTATAGAGGGGCAACTGATATATCGGATCATTATTTAGTTGTAGCTACAGTTAGAGTAAGAGGTAGATGGGAAAAGAGGAAGGTGGCAACAACAAGTAAGAGGGAGGTGAAAGTGTATAAACAAAGGGAGGAGGAAGTTCGGGCGAGTTTATAAGCGACTATTGGCAGAAAGGTGGGATAGTGCAAAGATGAGTAATGGGGGGGTTGAAGGGGTTGGAATAGTTTTAAAAATGCAGTATTAGAATTGTGGGGCAGAAGTTTGTGGTTATAGGAGGGTGGGTGCAGGGAGAAAGAGGAGTGATTGGTGGAATGATGAAGTAAAGGGTGTGATAAAAGAAAAAAGGTAGCTTATGAGAGGTTTTTACAAAGCAGAAGTGTTATAAGAAGAGCAGAATATATGGAGAGTAAAAGAAGGTTTAAAGAGAGTGGTAAAGAGAGGGGCAAAAGGAGAGCAGATGATAGAGGGGGAGAGGCACTGTCAAGAAATTTTAATGAAAATAAAAAAAAATTTGGAGTGAGTTAAACAAGTTAAGAAAGCCAAGGGAAAATATGGATTTGTCAGTTAAAAAAAGAGTAGGGGAGTTAGTAGATGGGGAGATGGAGGTATTAGGTAGATGGCGAGATATTTTGAGGAACTTTTAAATGTTAAGGAAGAAAGAGGCAGTAATTTTATGCACTGGTCAGGGAGGTTTTACCATCTTTTAGGAGTGAAGAAGAGCAGAATGTAAGTGTGGGGGAGGTACGTGAGGCATTACGTAAAAAGAAAGGGGGTAAAGCAGCTGGTACTGATGGGATCATGACAGAAATGTTAAAAGCAGGGGGGGGGGAATATAGTGTTGGGGGTGGTTGGGACTTTTGTTCAATAAATGTATGAAAGAGGGGAAGGTACCTAGGGATTGGCGGAGAGCATGTAAAAGTCCCCTTTTTATAAAGGGAAAGGGGCAAAAGAGACTGTAAAAATTATAGAGGAATAAGCTTACTGAGTATACCAGGAAAGTGTACGGTAGGGTTATAATTTAAAGAATTAGAGGTTAAGACAATGTAGGATTGCGGATGAGCAAGGAGGTTTCAGAGGGGGTAGGGGATGTGTAGATCAAGGTGTTTACATTGAAGGGATATATGTGAACAGTATTTAGATAAAGGTAGGGAAGTTTTTATTGCATTTATGGATTTAGAAAAGGCATATGATAGAGTTTGGGTAGAGGAGCAATGTGGCAGATGTTGCAAGTATATGGATAGGTGGTAAGTTATTAAATGCTGTAAAGAGTTTTTTTTGAAGATAGTGAGGCTCAGGTTGGGTGTGTAGAAGAGAGGGAGACTATTTCCCGGTAAAAGTAGGTCTTAGACAGGATGTGTAATGTCACCATGGTTGTTTAATATATTTATAGATGGGGTTGTTAAGGAAGTAAATGCTAGGGTGTTTGGGAGAGGGGTGGGATTAAATTATGGGGAATCAAATTCAAAACGGGAATTGACACAGTTACTTTTTGCTGATGATACTGTGCTTTGGGAGATTCTAAAAAAAAATTGCAAAGGTTAGTGGATGAGTTTGGGAATGTGTGTAAAGGTAGAAAGTGAAAGTGAACATAGAAAAGAGTAGGTGGGTGAGGGTGTCAAATGATTTAGATAAAGAAAAATTGGATATCAAAATTTGGGGGGGAGGAGTTATGGAAGAAGTGAATGTTTTCAGATAAATTGGGGGGTTGACGTGTCGGCGGATGGATTTATGAAGGATGAGGTTAATCATAGAATTGATGAGGGAAAAAAGGTGAGTGGTGCGTTGAGGTATATGTGGAGTCAAAAAACGTTATCTTGGAGGCAAAGAAGGGAATGTATGAAAGTATAGTAGTACCAACACTCTTATATGGGTGTGAAGCTTGGGGGGGTAAATGCAGCAGCGAGGAGACGGTTGGAGGCAGTGGAGATGTCCTGTTTAAGGGCAATGTGTGGTGTAATATTATGCAGAAATTCGGAGTGTGGAAATTAGGAGAAGGTGTGGAGTTAATAAAAGTATTAGTCAGAGGGCAAAAGAGGGGGTTGTTGAGGTGGTTTGGTCATTTAGAGAGAATGGATCAAAGTAGAATGACATGGAAAGCTTTATAAATCTATAGGGGAAGGAAGGCGGGGTAGGGGTCTTTCCTCGAAAGGGTTGGAGAGAGGGGGGTAAAGGAGGTTTTGTGGGTAAGGGGCTTGGACTTCCAGCAAGCGTGCGTGAGCGTGTTAGATAGGAGTGAATGGAGACGAATGGTACTTGGGACCTGACGATCTGTTGGAGTGTGAGCAGGGTAATATTTAGTGAAGGGTTTCAGGGAAACCGGTTTTTTCATATAGTCGGACTCGAGTCCTGGAAATGGGAAGTACAATGCCTGCACTTAAAGGAGGGGTTTGGGATATTGGCAGTTTGGAGGGATATGTTGTGTATCTTTATATGTGTATGCTTCTAGACTGTTGTATTCTGAGCACCTCTGCAAAAACAGTGATAATGTGCAGGTGTGGTGAAAGTGTTGAATGATGATGAAAGTTTTTTCTTTTTGGGGATTTTCTTTCTTTTTTGGGTCACCCTGCCTCGGTTGGGAGACGGCCGACTTGTTGAAAAAAAAAAAAAAGTATAATAATAATACATATATAATGTACTATTTTTTTTTCTCTCTCCAAGTCGGCCGTCTCCCACCGAGGCAGGGTGACCCAAAAAGAAAGAAAAAAAAAAATCCCCAAAACGAAAATACTTTCATCATTCAACACTTTCACCTCGCTCACACATAATCACTGTTTTTGCAGAGGTGCTCAGAACACAACAATTTAGAAGCATATACGTATAAAGATACACAACATATCCCTCCAAACTGCTAATATATCCCAAAACCCTCCTTTAGAGTGCAGGCATTGTACTTCCCATTTCCAGGACTCAAGTCCGGCTATATAAAAATAACCGGTTTCCCTGAATCCCTTCGCTAAATATTACCCTGCTCTCTCACCAACAGATTGTCAGGTCCCAAATACCATTCGTCTCCATTCACTGCTATCGAACATGCTCATGCATATAATTATAATAGACGGCTTCAAAAGGCCATCACTAGATGGCAGTGTTGACCACAAAGAGGGAGCGGTTGTGGCTGCCTCCACCTGTTACATAATGACTTGTCTTATTCATTCTAGAGTTTATATCATGTTTCTATATTATTTATATTGTTTGTCATATTTACTGAACTGTGATAGATAAGCCGTATAGATATTAGCGAAATTATTCATGAAGTATTTTGCCCGGTCTCCAGACAAACTCGCCCACTGCTGACACCGCCCATACCACTACATGAATGACATATTTTATTTATTTTAGAGTATATATCAGGTTTCTATGTTATTTATAATGTTCATTATATATTAGATGAAGTGAGATAGATAAATAAGCTGTAGCGTTGAGGTAAAAATGTTATGGAGGGAGTAGTAGGTAAATTTGGGGTGCCAGGGGTAAATGTAAATGGGGAGCCTTTAATTGAGCTATGTGTAGAAAGGATTTGGTAATAAGTAATACATATTTTATGAAAAAGAGGATAAATAAATATACAAGGTATGAAGTACAGAATTCCACTGGAATGGATTAATTGCATTTCCGTTAATTTAAATGAGGAAAATTGACTGCAAACGAGCAAATCCAGTTGCGAGGATGGTCATGGAACGGATTAAACTTGCAAGTAGAGGTTCCACTGTACAAAGAAAATCCTGCTGTGCATATTAAAGTAAACATTAAATCTGATTTTTTTTTTTTTAAACTTTTAGGGACTTTTTATTCTTACCTGCCACACAGTGACTAACAATTCAATTGGATTTTGTGTAAATTTAATTTCTAGAGTTGTGGGTGTCGCTCCACTCGGTCCTACCTCTTAACTTTAATGCAATAAAGCATTGTAATCTATTGAACCTATGTATGGAATTGGCTTGCACTATCTCACTGCCAAAATAATTCCAGTTCTTGATCACTTATTTTGAAGAAATGTTTTTTTGTTAATTTCTGTTCAAGCATTCCTTTAAACATGCTAATACCTTTCATTTACTCTAGCTTGCTTTTATAATTTGTTAGCCTTCTGTGTGACACTGAATTGTAAACCACCTTGTCTAGAAGTGTGCACCGCCTCTCCGTCTTTCCTGCCTGACCTCTATTAATACGTCATATTGCAGAAGTGTTATTAGTAACCCTGAGCTTCCATTTCTGAATCTGTGGGTGTTCTGCAAGGAACCCGGTTCTTTCTCCTCAGTCTCATGTTTATGGTCTAAGTAATTATATTCATAATGCATTGTGGGATTGTGGGCTTCATGAAAGATTTTGTTTAAACAAAAGTCTTAATCGTAGGTTGCTAAGCTGAAAGAAGAAGACCGTCGTAAAGAGTATAAGATTGTGAAAATGGAACGGCTACACAGCAAACAGCAGAATGTTCTGAAGCGCAAAATGGAGGAAGCAATTGCTATTAACAAGAGACTAAAGGTAAGGAGAGCAGTCTTGTTATAACAGATGTGTTATGACTTCCCCTTTTATGTATAGTATAGTATAGTCAAGGCGTATGACAGGGTGGATGGGGCAATGTGGCAGATGTTGCAAGTGTATGGTGTAGGAGGTAGGTTACTGAAAACAGTGAAGAGTTTTTACGAGGATAGTGAGGGTCAAGTTAGAGTATGTAGGAAAGAGGGAAATTATTTCCCAGTAAAAGTAGGCCTTAGACAAGGATGTGTGATGTCACCGTGGTTGTTTAATATATTTATAGATGGGGTTGTAAGAGAAGTAAATGCGAGGGTCTTGGCAAGAGGCGTGGAGTTAAAAGATAAAGAATTACACACAAAGTGGGAGTTGTCACAGCTGCTCTTTGCTGATGACACTGTGCTCTTGAGAGATTCTGAAGAGAAGTTGCAGAGATTGGTGGATGAATTTGGTAGGGTGTGCAAAAGAAGAAAATTAAAGGTGAATACAGGAAAGAGTAAGGTTATGAGGATAACAAAAAGATTAGGTGATGAAAGATTGAATATCAGATTGGAGGGAGAGTATATGGAGGAGGTGAATGTATTCAGATATTTGGGAGTGGACGTGTCAGCGGATGGGTCTATGAAAGATGAGGTGAATCATAGAATTGATGAGGGGAAAAGAGTGAGTGGTGCACTTAGGAGTCTGTGGAGACAAAGAATTTTGTCCTTGGAGGCAAGAGGGGAATGTATGAGGTATAGTTTTAACCAACGCTCTTATATGGTGTGAAGCATGGGTGATGAATGTTGCAGCGAGGAGAAGGCTGGAGGCAGTGGAGATGTCATGTCTGAGGGCAATGTGTGGTGTGAATATAATGCAGAGAATTCGTAGTTTGGAAGTTAGGAGGAGGTGCGGGATTACCAAACTGTTGTCCAGAGGGCTGAGGAAGGGTTGTTGAGGTGGTTCGGACATGTAGAGAGAATGGAGCGAAACAGAATGACTTGAAGAGTGTATGTCTGGAGTGGAAGGAAGGCAGGGTAGGGGTCGGCCTAGGAAAGGTTGGAGAGAGGGGGTAAAGGAGGTTTGGTGTGCGAGGGGCTTGGACTTCCAGCAGGTATGCGTGAGCGTGTTTGATAGGAGTGAATGGAGACAAATGGTTTTTAATACTTGACGTGCTGTTGGAGTGTGAGCAAAGTAACATTTATGAAGGGGTTCAGGGAAACCGGCAGGCCGGACTTGAGTCCTGGAGATGGGAAATACAGTGCCTGCACTCTGAAGGAGGGGTGTTAATGTTGCAGTTTAAAAACTGTAGTGTAAAGCACCCTTCTGACAAGACAGTGATGGAGTGAATGATGGTGAAAGTTTTTCTTTTTCGGGCGACCCTGCCTTGGTGGGAATCGGCCAGTGTGATAATAAAAAAAAAATAAAAAAATATAGATTTTGTTTGTACAGGTATGTCATTCAACATTGGTGTTGGTTTAAAGATTTATAATATTAAATGGACAGTTTTTAATACCTATTGCTAACTTGATGAAACACATCACTAAACATTCTTACTGTGCATCAGTATTTAGGATCCAATAAAAGGAAAAATAATTTTGAGTTTCTCCGAATACAGTACACCTACCATCCAACTTACGACCGAGTTCGGTTCCGAGAAACCGGTCGAAATGGTAGTAAGTCGAACTTTACTACTGAATATTAACAAAACATTTTTGTAATGACTTTATTTTATTGTTTTATTTTGGTATTTCATGTTTACTTTTTATGTTGTTAGTACTGTATTTTATACTGTTAGGTTTAGGATAAATACTCTGTACAACACAAATAGTTGTTTATTTCCCAGAAATTTGGCATAAAAACACAGTCGTAAGTCGAGTGGTCGTAAGTCAAGCAGGTCGTAAGTCGGATGGTAGGTGTATTTTAATATCAGACTTGGGTTTGGGATATTGGCAGTTTGGAGGGATATGTTTGTGTATCTCTATACGTATACATGTATGCTTCTAAACTGTTGTATTCTGAGCACCTCTGCGAAAACAGTGATTGTGTGAGTGAGGTGAAAGTGTTGAATGATGAAAGTATTTTCTCTTTGGGTCACCCTGCCTCTGTGGGAGACGGCCGACTTGTTTAAAAAAAAAAAAAAAAAAAACTATGCAAAAGTGAGTGGTTAGTGATTGCTTACATAGTCATTGAAATGATGGTTAGTGTTAGTTGATTAATATGTAACAAAGCTTATATTTTTACCTTAATTATTATATAGGATGCAATGGCACTACAGAAGGCTGGTGCTGAAAAGAGGGCAGCATCAAGAGATGCTGCTGGTACTGGCAACCGCGTCAGGTAAGAGATGCATTTATAGAAATAATTGTATGACTATATATTAATATAGTTATGCCTTAAACTGTTGCTTAATTTTGGTATAATTTCAAGCTTGTGTGACTGTCTCAAAATAACTGTCTTCTGTTTTTGAACCTGTATGTAGTCTACTACTACATGCAGATATACTTCCTGAGTTACCTGTGGCTCATTTAGGCATGTAATTTCCAACCATACCTTGTAGAATCTAAGTTCTTCCCCCCTTCCATTGTTGTAAAGTCTTGTTATTTCAATTTTTCTTGAAGGCTTTTCTCTTACCTCTGGGACTAATTTCATAGTAAATCTCAGGGCATTTACAGCTTCTGAGCATATTTTCTTGGGGGGGGGGGGGGCACTCCATGTGGGTGCTTTATATTCTCAGGGGTCTTTGTTGAGCTACCCAAATGTGGTTATTTTTACTCCTAGGTCATTTTTCTTTTCTTAAATTTATAAACTCTGCCTAATATAAATTGTGTATGACCTAAATGAGTCTTAGTGAAGGGTCATGAAAGCAGTTATTAGGATGTTAGTTTTGCATGTGCCACTGAAGATGCATAGTTGATATGAACTTCCAGTGATATGGTTGGTGCAGTGCTTACTCCCAACTATTTCTCCTTGTATATTATCTGCTGTGTCTTACTTTACCTCCCAGGTTATGTTTATTCAATGTCTGATCCTCTCGCTGCCTCTCCTATTCTTGTTACTTGACACTTTTTAGGTTTCACTTCAAAATACCATCGTCCTGACCACTTTTGCAACTTAAGTTATCTTGGATCCTCTCCTTGTTCTCTCTAGTTATCACTGATTTCCTATCAGTTGCAAGCAGTGATACATGATTTTCCTCTGGCAGGCCATTAACATAAATCAGGAACAGCTGGGTTCCAAGCACTGATCCTTCATGGACTCCATTCACCACCTTTACCTACTGATCTAGTCTCCATAGTTTTGATGAACTCTTCTCCTGTTTAATTTCCTTCATCATATTTTTTGTTTAAATAAATGTTTTTATTGTATCAGGTCCTGGTTGGAGGGAGAACTGGAGGTGGTGGCTGTTAAGAAGCAAGCCAAACTATCCCTGAAAAACCTGGTGGAGGACCGAAAGACCATATCCGATCAAATTAATTCAGCCAAAGTATGAAATGTTTCAGTGCTACCTTTTAGTGGTATGAGCATTGAGTGACCTACATGGTCATGGTGCTCACTACAAATCTAATACTGTTAACTATAATACTACTAATTACTTCTATTATTACTACTGTTTCTATTGCTACTAGTACTACTAGTACTAGTACTACTAGTACTACTACTACTACTACTTTTCCACTTCTTCCTTTTCCTCCTTAGTGTTCCCATTATTTCTTAATAGCTAATGAAAATTCCTTAATATATACTGTAGTTACCCTTATTTTATATATAACGAAGTAAATTTTTAATGCAGCCTCTCCTCACTTGACTGAGTTTCATTCCTAAGACCATGTTGGTAAATGAATTCGTCGCTAAGTGAGGAGCGTACCACAATGGTAGTGGGTTTGTGTCGCCCTTCTTTGATATTGTTTTAATGTCACCTTTGCACCATTTATAACATTTCTGGTATATTTTTAAATATTTATACAGCAGTGTACTGCTTATTGTAATAAACAGAATAGAGGAAATCGGCTCTGATGTACATTATTTAGGTATGCATATTGATCAGAGAGCCCATCGTAAGTCCAAGTCATCAGTAAACGAGTGCGTCACTAAATGAGGAGAGGCTGTATTGTCTGGTTAAGTTTTGCACTATGTACATATGTACCATATAATTTACTGACTAAAGGTTAATTCTTCCAATAGCGGCAGCTGAGGAATGGAGATCTGTGTCCAGAAATGGTAACAGAATTAGAAAATAAAATTAGTGAGCTGGAAAATGACCTCCAACTACGAACTGCTCAGATTAATGACCTTCAGGCCAAGATTGTTGATGATGATGAAGGTAGGTTCTAATAATTTGTTAGAGGAAGTGGCTTGATGTGCTTGTAAAATGGAAGCAAAGTAACATTTATGAAAGGGGAAACTGGTTAGTTGGATTTGAGTCTTGGAATTGGAAGGTAGTGATTGCATTCTGAAGGAGGGGTAGGGTTGTTGTGGTTTGGAGTCATCTGAACTGATGTTGGTGCCCTTCTGGCAAGACTGACTGACTGACTGAGTGGTAGTGAAAGCATTTTCTTTCTGGTCACCCTGCCTTGGTGAGAGATGGCCAGTGTTAAAAATTCACTTCTTCCATACTCTCACTCCAGTCTAATATTCAATCTATCATTGCCTAGAGTTGCCCATATTACCTTGCTCTTGTTTATATTAACTTTGTCCATTTTCATTAACACTGGACATCTCCATTGAGCTATGGTGACCTGAAAAAGAAGAAACTTTCACCATCACTTTATCAGTCTTGCCAGAGATGCTTTGACATTACAGCTTAAGTGTGTAAGTTGCAGATACAGTACTTTAAAATCAAAATTTCTTAAAATTATTTATTTTCAGACATAACCAGTAAGAAGAGGTTTGAAACCATGCAGAGTATGGTTGAAGCGAAGTGTGCTATGAACTACCTCTTCGATGTAGCAACTAACAACCAGCTTGACTTGTCTGCACGGGAAAATGACCTTAAAGATATTCAGGTACTTGGTTAATTATATATGTATATATAGAATGAAACAGTATGTAACAAAATGTCTCATACAGCCATTGGTAGTATTTGAAAATAGATAGTTATCTGTAATTCTCTATTTAGTCACAGTATGAAGAAATAGCTCACTCCTTGGAAGACATGGAAGCAGAGTTTAAAACTCTAAAGGAGAATCACCAAGCAGAACTTACTCGCATGGAAAGAGAGCACGAGGAGAAGGTTCTCTTCCTTCTTGGACACTTACCTAAAGCCGAAGTAAGTTTGATTTTGTTTTTCATGAAAATTTTTGTATTTGTTAGATGAGGAAATGTGTATGGTCAGATTTGTTCAAATTACAGATGAAGCCATAGTGTTTTGTATCCCAATTTTGCAGATGGAAAGTTTAAGCTGAAGCACTTCAGTTACTTTTTTTTTTTTTTTTTTTTTTTTTTTTTATTTTTTTTTTTTTTTTTTTTTTTTTTTTTTCTCTCTCTCTCTCCTCTCTATACAGTTTGACAAGGTTAGGTTAAGGATCCCTAGCTTTATTGGCAAGCTAAGAGCTGTTACCTACATCAGCTCATTTGAAAGCATTTTTATTGTTACGAGACATACAAGTAGGGAACAGGATGAAGTTGGAGCCATCTGCGGGCCAGCATTTTCATTTGATCAACTGACTTTATCTCGTTGACATCATTATGCTGTACGAATGTGTTCCATACTCGAGTCATTGTGGGTATATAGGATCTCAGATGGAGTGATGTTCTGGAGAAGGGCACAGCCAGAGTGAAGTTGCTGCTTTCTGCCCTTCTTGTGGCATAAAAGCTTGTTTCACGCTGTCCTCGAAGTGGATCCAAGTGTGGTACTTTGACAATATTGGCCTTGTACATAACAGTAAGGCCACCCACATCCCTCCTATATTGAAGGCTCTGCTGAAATGACAGATCTATCCAGGATGGGTCCAGGCGAGAGATGAGACGTCTTGCTCTGTTCTCTACTCTGTCAAGCAGTTGCAGATGAGAGGGGGGGCAGGCAAACCAAGAAAGTGGAGCATACTCAAGGTGCGAGCGTACTTGTGCCTCGTACAGAATCTTGCAACCCCTGCTGTCAAGTAGATGCGAGATACGGCGAAGTGCTGTAAGCTTCCTGGCTGCCTTGTTTGCAAGATTTACAACATGGTTCTTCATGGTTAGTTTGGAGTCAAATTTCACCCCAAGGATATCAACTTCTTCTCCAGGTGCCAACACCCTCCCATTCATCCTTACTACTGCACCAGCATTGCCATCATGGTGCCTAGAGACAATCATCTTTTGCGTTTTCTCAGGTGCAAATGTTACTTGCCACCTATTTCCCCAAGCTGATATAGCTCTCAGCTGGTGATTGATGTAGCTTAGAGCAGCTGGCATTTCTTCTCTTGGATAAGCGAATGTCAGTGTGCAGTCGTCTGCATATGCATGTGATTCTTGGATGAGATGAAGAAGGTCGTTTGAAGTAGACATTCCATAACAATGGTCCCAGCACTCGTCCTTGTGGAACACTTGCCCCAATAGGATGTCTTGCTGATTCCGTTCCATTGATAACTACACTTAGAGATCTACCATGAAGGTAATCACTGAGGAGACATAGCGTAGAGCCTGCAATTCCCAGTGCTTGAAGTTTTGCTAAGAGGCCCTGGTGCCACACCCGGTCGAAAGTGCCAGCAATGTCCAGTGCTACCACACAGCTGACTTTGGATTCATCCAGTGACTGGTGCCACTTAGTGGAGAGGTTTAACAACAGATCAGCAGCAGAGTAACCTTTCCTGAAGCCATATTGACGATCACAAAGTAAGTGATAGTCAAAAAACTGTCATTTGTCTTGAGATTATTGTCTCAAGGATCTTACCAGTGATTGACAGGAGTGACACTGGTCTGTAGTTGCTGATTTCTGCTCTGCTCTTCTTTTTGTGAACAGGGACTACATTTGCCTCTTTCCATAGAGAGGGCCATTTACACTGTACTAGGCAGTGCTGAAAGATGCGAGTTAGAGGTGCTGCTAGCTGGTCTGCACATCTCGGCAATCTTGGGTTCAACTTGTCTGGGCCCACAGCCTTTTCTTGGTCAAGCGATTTAAGAAGGAAATGCACCTCCTCCTGCCTTATTGTCACCACTGACAGTTTTGACACAGTTCTTGCAGCTAGCCAAGGAGGGTCCCTTGCTGGATCAGGAACTTGCATTTTAGTAGCAAAGTGTTCAGCAAAGAGGTCCGCCTTCTCTTGACTGCTAGTAGAGGTGGTCCCATCCTGTCGATTTAGAGGTGGAATGAGTTCATCAGGCAGATAACCTTGTCTGTCCTTGACCAGGGACCACCAGGTTTTGGAGCCTACCCTACCTGATGCTAGCTTTCTTTTAGTGTCCACCTCCCATTTAGCAATGGCCCACTTTTGAACGTCACCCATATGTCTACAGGCTTGTCTGTGCAAGTTCCTGTTATAGGTGGTAGGATGTCTCGTATACCTTCGCCATGCTTTGTACTTAGCAGTAGCAGCCTCTCTACAACGAAAGCCAAACCAAGGCTGATCCGTAGGCTTCGTCACATATTGCCGGTGAGGAATGTATTTTGTTGTAGATTAAGGATTGGTCAGTGAAGGCTTTCACTTGGTTGTCAACATCCCCTTGGAGAAGAGCATTCCAATTGGTGGTGGCAAGCTCAGAGCGAAGGGCTGGCCAATTACCTCTTTCCCATAGCCAGGTTGTGCGTGTGGACTCTTCACCTCGTTCTGTTGGGATCTTAAGTGTCGTAAAAACAGCTTTGTGGTCAGACGATCCAACATAGCCGAGGGGTTGACAAGTGACTATGCCTTCTGCCAGATCACTCACTACTGGGTCAAGGGAGGAGCCAGAGATGTGAGTAGGGAAATCACCAAAGTTTCTCATGTCAAACACTGCAAGAAGGTCATCAAAGTCCCTCTGTATAAGGTGCTGGTTGAGGTCACCAACAATTATGATATGTTGACAGTTGTGTTGTAGCAGAAGGGAGTCAATATTTTCCATTAGGAAGTTGATGGGATCTGCATGTTGCCACTGAGGTCTGTACATTGCACATGCTAGTACAGAGGTACTAGTGTTTATGCAGAGCATCATTTCAAGATGTGTAGGGGTGGCAACATCAATGTGCTGGGCATGAACACTTTTAGAGAAGCACACAGCAACACTTCCTCCTTGCCCTTGCCTGTCTCTTCTCATCCATGAGGTGTAGCCAGCAATTCTTGCAAAATTTTCTGGAGTCCTGTCATCCAAAAATGTTTCAACAACAGCTATCATGTCGGGACGTCGAGTGTTCACAAAACTGTGTGTGAGAGCACTCCAACATTAGTAATGAAACCTCTAATGTTGGCCGACAGGATGCTGATAGACTGGCTCCTCATGATGATGTGGTCAGCTTGAGGTGGTGGGTGTGTAGGGCATGTAAGGTGCCTGCCCTTGAGAGAGGTAGGGTACTGAGGCAGCTGCGGGATGTAGTGTGTGGTCTTGTATAAGCACAATACCACCTGCTGGGCTGGAAGGAGTAGCTGAGTGGGTGACGTGTGAGTGTGTTCACCAATTCAGAGATCCTGCTGGTTTGTTCTGAGAACAGGTCTCTAAGCAGGTGGTCCTGTCTGTCAAGTTCCTTTTTCTTCCGACACTGGTCCTTCTGATGTCCTTCTTGTAGCAGTAATTACACCTGTATCTCGCAGGCAGTTGCTGGCAGTGTGCCCCTTCCGGTGAACAGCGAGAGCACAGCCTAGGTGCCTGAAGGGTGGACTATGATTTGTCGTACCTCCTGTGTTTTGCAGATTTGTCCTCAGGTTCTGCCGCTGGAACTGTGTTTATGGAGAGGTGAGACAACTGTAGATGTCTTCCTCTCCACGTCCTCTGGCCCGTCCTCTACCAGTTCTGACAGATGTGTCCTGCTGTTTGTACTTTGAGCAGTAGGTGATCAGGTGAATGATAGTTCCCTGATTATTAACTGCACCATCTCTGGTGGAGAAACTCCTGACTCAGAACTTGCTGATGAAGCACTGCTGCCAGATTTGGAATGGTGTCGGCAGGTGTGCTGACAGGTGTAGGTCAGAGATGGTATGTGCACTGTCAAGTGGACTGGCAGTGGCTGAAGCAGAGATGTCAGGTGTAGGAGAATTAACAGATCCAAGGTTTCCTTCGTTGCTGGAAGAGGATTTGTTCCCTCTGTGGTGGTCAGAGGGAAATTTTTTAGAATTCCCAAAGGTAGTGTTTTGAACTCTGGTCAGTTGTGGACCTTAGCGATGACAGAATTCCACCAGTTATTACCCTGAGTTAAGCTCAGTGTGGGACTTCCATCTGTCAATAGTGTCACCAATCAGCTGAGCAGCTTAGTCACTTGATGTAGGCTTCACTGGCCTTCTACATAGCTTGGAGGTTATCTAATGATTTGAGGAGCTCATGAAGTGCTTCCCTGTGATGGATTATCTTAGCTGCAACTTTACAACACAGCCCAAGAGGGCAGTCTTGATCTTAGGACAGAAGTCCTGAGATAGGACTTCTGAACCTTCCTCTGTAGCTCCAGGCTTGTATCCACATATACCACAGGATTATGGATATCCTTCAATTTTCTGAAATTTTCAACCTAGGCTGCAACAAATTCTTCTTCCAGATTGCAATCTGTGTGGCAGTAGTTGGAACAAGTAGGTTCCTTACATCTAAGAAAACTTTGTCCCTTGTGGTTACTCAAACACTGCAGTAACTACTGGGACATTAGCCAGATAGCTAGATTTCTTGCTATTTTGCAATGTGAAGTCTCCAGAGGAGGCTTTAGGTTGCAATTAAGTTCACAGGAGAGAGGGTGGGTGGTGGTATCGTGGTGAGGTGGAGTATCCTGGGTGGGGGTGTTTTATAGCGGGTAGTGGTGGAGGGCAGGCAGTGGCCGACAACTGGAAGTGTTGCACTTCTCACTATCACTTAATGAACACTGTTATGCTAATCCACTTTCATCAATGGAAGATGTTACCAAATCACTATGTTGCATTGTACCAGTCAGGTTTTTAAAGCCCAGATGCTAGTACATAGCACGAAAACACTGTATTATTATGCTCACTGCTCTTGTCTGTCTCTCTCTGCTCTGATCTCCTCTCCTTGTCTCCTCTATCTCACAAAGGGGGGGGGGGGGATCTGTAGTGGATCTGGGGCTTTGCGGTGTTGTGGGAGCGTCCCCTTTTCCCCCACTATCCCTTAACCCGTTCCTTCCCCTTTCCAAAAGTTCACCCTCCTGTGCTTCACATCCTC